CAGGGTGATATCTCTTAACCGTTTGAAAAAATGATGGACATCATGAACCCTTTATCCAGGACTCATAGAAACATGAAATTCTGAAACAATTTTGGAGAGATCCATGCACTGTTCATGGGCTCAGGTTAAGATTCTTGGTCTAGAGCAAGTTTCATCCTCCCCTAAATGCATTTTTCCTATAGCCTGGCCCTTCCCATAATACATGCTTCCCAGCTGCAAGATTTTTCAATCTGGTTTTCTGTTAGAGATGCAATTTTAGGTGCCACGTGTCTCAGAAAAATGGAACTTGGTATACTTTGGTGATATAAGTGGAGGCACAATGGACATGAACTCAAGATATGGATGGGAAGTGGTGTCAGAAATTTCAAAATAGAAGACAGGAGAAGCCATGGGAATTGAGCATAGTAAGTTGCAGATTAATTGGATCTTAAATCTCGAGGTGGAAAGAGACCCATTGATTATCTTCCTGACACTTTATGTCTCAGGAGATCAATCTGTTACAATCTTTATGTTTTATTTATTTATCTCTTCTTTTTAACTCAATATTGTGATAGGTTCTCAAAATATTAAAGAAGCAATATACCATCCCATAATGCTGTTTTTCTTTAAGCCAAGGACCTGTCCTTAATAAACTGAAACAGCAGTGATAACGATTTTGACCAAGGGTGTCTTTATTGTACACAACTTCTCTTTTGGGAAAAGGACTATGGTTCTTGCTATCTAAATTTTAAAAGCTAGTGTAATTGTGTCTTCATTCACAACCACCACTTCATAATGTCAAATTGAAAAGGAAAATATGTTAAATGAAAACAATTACATATAGGAACTTTCCCTTAGAAGGTGACATACACTAAAACATTTTCAATAATCTTCAACTCCAACATAAGTGAATATCAGTGATAAGGGATCTTCCAGTTATTCATGGATATTAACTTCAAACTATCACCAGGCAAAGATCATAGTGGTTATACATAGAGATTTCTGGGTTTTTCTTTTATCCCTATTAGAATTGTGATCTTTTGCATGTATATAATCACCCAATTTCATATCAGTTTTTCAACCCCATTCACATTACATTTTATATAAAGCATACCAGGAATGAATAGGAAACTCCAGTGTTACATACTTCAGTTTGTTATGCATTGCAAAGATCAGGTTTCCACTAATCAGATTTACCTAGAAATTAATAGCCCTAAGGAATTTCTAAAGATAAAGGCATTTTTAGAATGAGTCAATGCTTCACTCTTGAAATTTTAGAACAGAATAAAATGCATAAGTACTTTATCCTAATGGCATGTGGAAAACATTTTAAAATGACCAGAAGCTATCCACAAGTGTAAGTACAGTGGTGAGAAAGTGGCTTAATGAGGGTTAGAAATTAAGACAAAAACTAACTGTAGCTGAGGCAAGAATGGAGGTCTGATGTATTTCCTATGTTCTATTTCATTTCAGGAAGAAAGCACGGTTCTAGTTATGAAATGATGACAATAGCTAATTAACATAAGGAAGAAAGAATTTTTTAATTTATACAATAAACCTTTAATGCATAAACAGTTTGGAATATGTTGTTGGCCCTATGCATGATTTCATATTAGACAGCCAGGATAATGTCATTTCCTAAACACCTCATGCATTTTTATCACTTAAGAAATGTTTTATATACCAATGGAAGATTTTATGAGAAGGATAATGTGATTATTTCTTAATTTAGACTAGCATTTACAATAGCCAATCTCTTAAAATTTCAGTCTCAGACTTTTGTTTCATAGGTTTGTGGAGAAGATGAAGAGAATGTTGGGCCTAGCTCAGGCCCCTTCATATGACGTAGAGAAAAATGGTTGTTGTCATTTTACTTTTAAAGCTAACAAGTTAAAATTAAGGGCAAAATGGTCCAGATTTTTGTAATATATTCAAAATTCTGTTATGAAATCTTGGATTAATCTTCTCACAATGTCACCCCCAAATGACTACGTTCTCTTTGATAGTATTTAATTAAGAGCATAGGCTTCATGCTCAAATTTTGACTCTCGGCTTCACTACTTACTAGATGTGGGACCTAGGGCAAGTTATTTGCCTCACCTGTAAAATGGGAATAATAATACTACCTACTTTACGGGGTTATAAAGATGAGTTACGTAAAATTTAGCACTAAAAATTGTTAGCCATTTTGATGTTGATAATGATGATATAAGAGGTTAAGCTTGACTTTGCTGTTACAGGATGTTGGACAATTCGTATTTTGATAGCTTCACTTCCCAAACTTTGGAAGCCCCAGATTGGCACTGTTGAAGGAAGCAGTGATTCTACCCACATCATGGGACAATGGCTGACATTAGTATTTCTGAAAATACTAATGAAAACACTGAAGATGCTGATGAGGCTTCCTAAATCGCCTGCTTCCCTCCTCCCTCCACTACTGGAGTGCCGTGGAAGAGACTGATACCTCATAGGGAACAGATCTGTCATCCTGAGGAAGGAATAAGGCAGAGAAATGGTGGATTGCTAGTATCTTCTGAGACACAAGGAACAAAATTACTTGGACTGTCTCATTAATAATTATGCTATCTTGATTATATTTTGAACTGCTATTTTGGAATATGATTAAAATTAATTTCACTTTTTTTTTAACTTATTCCATACGTGGTTCACATTTGTGGCTCACATTGTATTTCTATTGGATTGTGCTCTGTTAGAAATATGGCATTTCTGAAGGCAGCCACCAGCCTTTGCCTCATCTAACACTGCTCCTCATCTAACAGTGCTCTACCTCCCACCCCCAGTTTGGACATATGGAAATGATGCTTGCCTGCAGTAGGGAGATTGGCATTTTTATATACAAAATCACAAATGGTAGATACAACTCAAAAGAACTGACATCCTAATTCTTCCCTGTCCAGGATAGGTATTCCCCGATTCAGAAATGCGTTTATATCCTCCAAGTTGAATTCTAACTTGTTCAGTGGAGCCTGAAATGTTTCCTCTCATAGATATATGATCTGCATCCTAGTTACAGCCCTGAGTCCTCAGAGCTGATTTGTTGTTGTTGTTAAGGAACTCTGATGGTGTAGTGCCTAAGACTTTTGACAGCTAACTGGAAGGTGCCTCTCAGCTGAAGAAAGATGGGCAATCTACTTCCATAAAGATTTACCACTTCTAAAACTCAATGGGGGTCGTCGTGAGTCAGAATCTACTAGATGGCAGTGAGGTTTTTTTTGTTTTGTTTTGTTTTTTTAAAAAAAGCAGTAAAACAAAAGAGTAGAAGCTATATTAGTTTCTGTGTCACAGCATTTCTGCTACACAAGTTCCCCTGCTTTGGGAGGAATGGACTACAATATCCCACAGTTCTAGTTCTTTTTGTAAGGCACCTTTTACATATCTCATTCTCCCCAAAATATAATATACTGATTCAGACCAGCTCATGCCCTGACAAAGGACGGGGGAGAAGCGTGAGAACAACAGGGACCAGGGAGAAAAGCACATAGCTAAGAAAGTGAGTTAATTTGGGGGAAGGGGTGGAGTGGAGTGGGGCATCACAACCAGGCTTTTTCAGAATCCTCTGTTCTAAAAGCCTCTGAGGATGAGTGAATGATATAATCAGAAGCAGGAAGGGAGGCCCGAGGTTGGATAGAGTTGCTTCTCCAGTTTCTGCAAGTCAGACCTGCTCATGTGAGGCACCTTCTATCTTTTCCTTCTTCCTAAGGTTGTAGCCGGTGAAGTTCTAACTGTGTTCTCCCTGCAGGGTCACTCTTGCTCTTCTGAAGATTAGGAACCACTTTGCCAAAACTCTCACTCCCAGTCCTCTGTAAGAGGCTAATGCATGCACGGGTACATCTCAGGCTCTACGACTTGAGTTATGCCTTAGAAAGCTCAGACTCATAGTTTCATAGAACTAACTGCTGAATCAGCCCCAAGCCAAGGCAGCACTTAGCCCAGAACTTGGGCTCTCATCATTTGGTTACCCCAGAAACCTTTTGGCCTGCCAGATCATGGCAAGCCCTACACACCTCTAATTCTCCCATCACTGACAAGGACCATTGGATTGTAATCTGTTAGAAGTACGTCATTTCTGAAGGCAGCCACCAGCCTTTGCCTCATCTAACAGTGCTCCACCTCCCCACCCCCAGTTTGGACATAAGGAAATGATGCTTGCCTGCAGTAGGGAGATTGGTGATTCCTGGGTGTGGCTTCATGCTCACAAAGTTTAAGACTGTAAGTTAAAGAGCACCGGTATCTATTTCTGACACTGACATCAAGACAACATTTTGTAAACAGGGTTTAAATGCCACCTCTGTAGGGATCTCAAAGCTTAGGAAAGGATCACTCCAAACAATCCCCTTTCCTCTAATGATCATTATGGATATATTGTGAATTTTCATGGCATCAAAGAGTTACATACTCATAGGTAAATTGGTAAACCTGTAAACTAGGTATTTGTTGCACTTTTAAGACAAATAATGAATCCTCTGAACTTCTGCCAAAGGGCCCCCTCTCACAGGGATCATTCTCAAGGGCAATTGGAAAGCTGTGGGACAGGTGCCCACATCTTTGGCTGGAAGAAACAGATGGCAAAGCTCAGAACTAGTACCAGCAGATGGAAGGTACAGGGAGGCAAACTGCAGCTCAGGGTAAGCAGGGGAAACAAAGAGAACCATATAAAGGTGGAAGGGTGGGCCTCCTCCTCAGGTACTGAGCCAGGCTAGCCAACGGTGGAACAGGAACACTGTACAGCAGCTCCTGATTCTTGGGTGGTGGGCTGGACTGGCTTAGGGGAGAGCAAAGCCTCCCTTTCACTGGGACTGCCTTACTGCAGAACACTAGCATATGGATGCCCATATACTGGGGTTAGGGAAGGAAGCCAGAGAGGAAGGCTATAAACCTTTATAAATTAGGGCATCTTGTGTAAGTTGCAGAAAGTTTGCATGGCAGCAGAAGGGCTGGGGCTCAGAGAGGAAGGTGTCAGAGGGCTGCAGAAGCTGGGCTGTAGAGCCTGAGTGACTTACTGCGAAGGGCAAGGAGCAGACAGCGAAGGTGATGGTCATAATGGCCAGGAGGATGAGGTGGTCCGTCTCCTCAGCCACGGACACCCTTTCCCCTCTCCTTCGGGTGCCGGGCCCGCTGCTGCAGCTCCCCAAGACGGGTCCGCAGCGGCTTCTCCTGCCCCGGCGGTACATGAGGACAAGATTGTGGATGACACTGAAGTTGCAGGCGAGCACGGCGACGATGAGGAGCAGGAGCAGGGTGGCATAGAGCTGCAGGTATGCAGTCCCCCCGTGCCGGATGAAGCACCACGTCCCGGGACAGTACTGGACGTACTGCCCATAGTTGAGAAGCGGCAGGGAGCAGAAAAGCAGCGAGATGGCGTAGATGGCAGGCAGCACGGCCAGGCCCCCGCGGCGCGTGACGCGGCGCTGGTAGAAGTAGGGATGCCCGATGGACAGGTAGCGCTCCAGGGCCATGGCGAAGAGCATGAGCATCGTGGCCAGGCTGAAGAAGGTCATGGTGAAGGCGAAGTAGGTGCACGCGCGGCTCTCGGGCGCCAGCGCCACCAGGGTCTGGTTCTGCGCATACGACGCCAGCACCACGGGGCTTATGAGGCAGGTCCCAAGCAGGTCGGTGAACACCAGCTCGGTCACCAGCACGTGGAACAAAGAGATGGTAGTCCTACCGCGGGCGCGGCGCCCCGCGTCCCCCCGCCAGCGGCGCGCCAGCAGCCCTAGCGCGATAAGGTTCCCCAACACCCCGGCCGAGAACATCACGGAGCTGATGGCTGGGCTTTCGCCCGAGGGGAGCCATTGTCGAGAATCGCAGTCCTCGGCCCGAGAGTCATTGGACGCATTGCCCATGGTGAGGTCCCGAGAGATGCGCCCTCCTCTCCCGGCCTAAACCTGGGAGGAGGAGGGTTTGAAAGCCTGAGTGCTCCGAGCCCCAGGGGAAAAGGGGAGGACCCCAGATCTAGACCCCCCTTCCGGCTCTCGGGGCCCGCCGAGGGCAGGCTCTGCCTCGAGTTTCTCGCAACGCCCGGGCCGTTCGCTCCGCTGCCTCATCCGAACTGCGCCCGTGCCTCTTGCGCCAACCGGTGCTCTTAGGGGCCGAGAGTCCGCGTCGACGGACGGCGGGCTGCTGCTTCCCCGCGCGGCCCGGGGCGGGCTCAGGCGCAGGGTCACGGCCTTTCTAAGTGCGAGCGCCAGCCAGCTCCCGGGGAGGCGCGGCGCGTCATATTCCGCTGCGGCGCTGCTAGTCCCGAGCCGCGCCGGCGGGCATGGGAGGAAGAGGGGTCGAGGCACCTCCAGTAGCGGCGCTAGGCAGGGACACGAGTGCTGCGGGCGTCTGGGTGGCTGCTCACAGCCTGAGGGTCCGCGGGAGCTACGTTCCTAGTCCCCTCGGAGGTGGGCTTTCAAAGCCCCGCCGCTGTTGGACTTCGGTTAGAAAGTTCAACTGCAGCCAAGGGCTGAGAGGGAGTGAGGACACCTAAAGGGCCTGCGCAGAATTCACAGAAGGTCGGGGCCACCCGCGAGGAATGCAAATAGACTCACCAAGCAGTGGAGGCCCCAGTCCCGTGAGATGTGGAGAAAAAGGGAACAGACACCAACGACGGCAGGATCCTCTGGAGGAAGTGAAAAGCAAGCCTGTTGATCCAAGGAACCAAACCAGGCACACCACTAAGCTGTCTGTTGTTGCACTGTTGTTTCTCTTTTGATTCGGTTTCTAGCACTTCGTCTTTTCCTATGTCAACACCACAACGGATAATATTTGCTTAAGCAACCATTAAAGAAAGAAAGGGAAAAGAAACAAAAGAAAAGTTCCTTTTAAGTATGTAGAATTGTGTTTGTGAGCACAACTTGGAACGACTGCACACCATTGTTCTTTACTGAAGCTCCGCCCTGAAAGAAAATGTTGATATGTTGTCTAGCGATTAACTTTTCCATGTTTAGTTAACACACAAGGCCCATCCAGAGACACCCATCCCTGGTAAAGTTTATTAATGAGTGACCAGTTTCTGAGAATGGAGCTGACAAAATTGTGACCTATTGTTGTAATTGCCAGAGTTGTGAAAATGGGTATATATGTTTAAATGAAGTTTGACAAACAATACAGGCAATTATGTTCTATAAGAAAGGTCACTTGGGTTGGGGAGGAGAATTGGGAGGCAGGAGGATCTGTAGACTGAACTGGAAGGAACAAAGTCATTGTGCTGAAGAGCACCTCTTAGGACAAGCCTGCTCAGGATGGCTCTCTCCTTGTCCAGAGCAAAGAAGAATGAAGAAAACCAAAGACACATGGAAACAAGTAGTCCAAGGGACTGGTTGACCATGCGGTCCTCAGCCTACATGACCAGGAGACCAGAAGAACTAGATGGTGCCTGGCTACCACTGTCAACCACTCTAAGGGGGTTGGGTTCAGGAGATCCTTTGATAGAGTGGGAGAACAATGTAGAACAAAACTCAAAATCATAAAAAAAAAAAAAGAAAGTTTGCTGGTCTGATAGAGCCTGGTGAGACCCCTGAGACTATGGCCCCTAGTTACCCTTCAGGACTAGAACTGAACTCACTTCTGTGGCTTCCAGCCAAACAATAACAGGCATATATGGAGTGAACATTTACATCAGGTAGATAATACTACTTGTAGCGGATCTTTTGTGGGAGAACAGAAGGGCAATGTTTGCAAGGGGGTGGGTAGTGAGTGGGAGGGAAGGACACAGGGAAGAGGTGACTATGGGGAGGAAGTGGGAAGAGAGCTTTTACATTGTGGGGAATTGCAGTCGATATCATGGAACAAAATGAATTTACTCTGTAAACTTTCACCCAAATCACACACACACACACACACACACACAAATTAGAAAAGACAGGCCTGCTCATTTCTGTGAATATTTTAGCTCACCTTGATGAGTCTGGCTTAGGGATTGGAATGCAGAGTGAATTCCCACAGGTCAGGTGTAATTTACTGGATCACTTGGAGTCCCTGGGTGGTACAAATGATTAATGGGCTTGTGTGCTAACCATAGGTTGCATGTTCGAGTTCACCTCAAGAAAGCCTTGAGATCTAGTTATGAAAAATTAGCCATTGAACACCCTATAGGGCACAGTTCTACTCTGATGCATATGAAATCCTATAAATTGGAATTCATTCAACAGCAACTGGGTTCTTGTGTGTTGTGGTTGTTTTTTGTCAAAGCCTACAGGCTGATTTTTGCGTATCAGCTGCTCCCACTTCATCAGTGCCTAAATTCTGGATAACATGGATTCCTAGTGGAGGGGCTCTTAACCACAGTTTTCTTCCAGGCTGGAAACTGCAGGTCAGTAATACCTTATTGCCAAACTTCTTCACTCATCTCTGACTACTTCCCCACCCTGACCTTCCGCCCTTCTCACCCCAAGCAATGGAGAAACCACATGAATCAAAAGTGTTCCTTTTCTGTTTTCATAAAGTCCCTCACAACAAAAATCTACTATTGAACCTTTCTTATGTACTTGCCTCCACTTTCTTTTGGACAGGTACCTGAGAACAGGCCTGACCCTAACTTTCGTGAGCACCAGACAGAGCAAGAATGTAGTTGGAAGTCCTCACTCCAGATCTTTCCTTCCTTCTCTTCCATCTGCCCTTGGCTTAGTCTTGTACCGTGGGGAGACTTGTGTAAATGTGGACTATCCAGTTCCTCATGACCAAGCTCTGTACACGTTCCTTCCTAGACAGTCACCCCTTGTGTCTGGGGAGGTGTATGCCCAAGGGTAAAGTTGGCCCTTGGGTGGGTGGACCTGAAGAAGATGCCTGCATTGACCCTGGAAGTGAGCTCCGGGGCACCCTTGATTCCATGATACCTGGAATATGGTCTAGAATGAAGGCGGAATGGGCTCTGCATGAGTAGAGCCTCTTGGACCCAAAGTTTCCTCACTTAAGATGTGGCAAGAGGAAGACCAGAGTAGAGTCCTATAACTCTCAGGAGCCAGGAGTCTATAACTCTTAAGTTGCCCAGTTTAGTGGTACTATGTGAGATATTATATCCTATCCCTTAATCTCCTTCTATGTTGTTCAACTTTACTTGCTGCGAAATATTCAATTTATCACTTTGTGATACAGTGAATTACCTAATATGGTTCTTCTAGCCATGGTATTTGTGACTCCCACCAGATGATTGGGTGGAACTATGCAAATGTAAGGTGCCTGTGACCTACCAAGGGGATTGGATAGCTTGCTAATAATGTAAATAAGGTACATGTCATCTCTAGGCTTAAAATGAGCCATCACTCTTCTTCAATTGGACCATCAGATTTGTTTCTGAATTCTAGCAGTCCATCCAAGCTTGTCTAATCTTGTCAGTTTCCCCCATTTTTTTTTTTTTTTTTTTTAGTTTAAAGTCTGCTTCTTTTCTAATTTTAGTGTCAGCATCTTGATACAGTTTCAGTTCAGAGTTCCTTAAAAGAATTCTGATGAATTAACAGATTTGTCAGATTGGCACATCTCCCAGGGGCCTAGGTGGTGCAGACAGTGTATGCTAGCTAGACTACTGCCTAAACGTTCAAATCAACCAAAGTTTCTGTAGAAGAAAGACCTGGTGATCTGCTTCCATGAAGATTACAGCCAAGAAATATTTATGGAGCAGTTTTATGTGACACATGGATCAATAAGTCAGAGTCTACTCGATGGCAACAGGTTTATTTTTTTGGTTTTGTATCATCTCCTATAATGGAGCCATAGACCAAAAATCAAACCCACTGGCATCAAGTTGATTCCAACTCATAGCGATCCTATAGGTCAGACTAGAACTGCCCCATAAGTTGTCCAAGGTGTAAATCTTTATGGAAACAGACTAACACATCTTTCTCCTGCAGAGTGGCTGATGGGTTTGAATCACCAACCTTTTGGTTAGGGGCCAAGGGCTTTAACCACTGCACCACCAGGGCTCCTAATAGAGTTTTGCTAATTTTTCAGTTCCTGTGTGTGGGGCAATTGTATTTTAGGGAACATTGGTTAAATCTCAAAGCTGAAATTCTGAAGTTCATCATTTTCATTTATGTATCTACAAACTCAAAGAATTGTGGAAGGTAAGTTACTCTCTGTAGGTCATTTTTCAAGAGAAAACAAAGATAAGCATGAAGGGAGAGAGGGCTGCACAGGGGACAAAGCCAACATTAATTCTGGTTCATGGCTCTATTTTTGTTACTTGGCATGCACAAAATATTAATTGAAAATATTTTATTTTATTGAAAATAAATATGTTTTTCCCCCTCAAATTAAGTTGTAACAATACCATCTGGATCCTGTGATGTCCCAGAGAGGATGATATCACTTCATTGCAAACAACAGAAGCCACTCAAATTTGTTTAAGAAAAAGAGAGAGAATTTATTGGAAGGATACAGTGATAGCCCATAGATCCCAAGCACTGGAAGTACAGAGAGAATATGACTGGTACCAATTTTGTCAGATGCACCCTGTGCCAAAATGAAAAAAGTGAGAAGTGTTGATTGCAAAATCTCTGAACTGGCTTCTTACAGCTAGGGTTGGAGGAGGAGACTTTAGAAAAAAGTTGGTTTAACCTCTATGACAAACTTTTTATTTTGGAATATATTTAGGTTTATAGAAAAGTTGTGAAGATGTGATCATGAAGCATTAGAGAGATGCAAATCAAAACAACAATGAGATACCATCTGGACCCAGCACTAGTAGCAAAGTTCAACAAGACAGAAAATAACAAAAACTGGTGAGGATGCAGAGAGATTGGGACTCTCATACACTGCTGGTGGGACTGTCAAATGATACAACCACTGTGGAAAGCAGTATGGCAATTCCTTAAAAAGTTGGAATTAGAAATACCATTTGACCCAGCAATCCCACTACTAAGCATATATCCTAAAGAAGTGAGAGCCAGGGGAGAAAGTAGTTGGACCTGTG